GGCAAGTCTGCCTTGGAGTTTGTGGCGCTGCTGGCTTTTGCAATTCCTGGCACCGTTTTGGGCATGGCTTATATCATGGCTTTTAACGTACCTCCTTTTGAATTAACGGGAACGGGCTTGATTATCGTGTTATGTTTTTTGTTTCGCAATTTGCCCGTCGGAGTGCGTGCTGGCAGTGCGGCCTTCGAACAGATGGATCGCTCTTTGGATGAAGCATCCCTTATGCTGCGTTCAAGCACTACACAAACCCTGCGCCGTATCGTACTACCGCTCCTAAAACCTGCGCTCATTTCTGCACTTATTTATAGTTTTGTTCGCTCTATGACCACTATTTCTGGCGTAATTTTTCTTGCCACTGCCGAGTTTGAGCTGGCCACCGTATATATCATAGGCCGCGCTGGCAATGGCGACTATGGCGTTGCCTTGGCTTATTGCACCGTATTGATTTTGGTATTGTCATCCTTTGCAGTTCTCACCCAATGGTTGGTAGGTGAGCGCAAGCTGGGCAGACGCAAAGTAGGGGCAGGCAAGCAACGCCAAGTTCCTCTAACACCTTCCACATCATCCTAATTTTTATTTCAGGACTACAAAATGCCTAACTCCAATGCAGGTATCGTATTTGAAAAAGTCACCAAGCGCTATGGCAACAACCCCAAGATGCCCTTGGCCGTTAAGGGGGTGGATTTTAGCATCCCCAAAGGCACACTGACTACCATATTGGGCCCTTCTGGGTGTGGCAAAACGACTATTTTGCGCATGATTGCTGGTTTGGAAATGCCCACGAGTGGTGAGATTTTTATCAACGGCAAAAATGTTACCACTCTTGGACCAGCAGAGCGTAACGTAAGTTTGGTTTTTCAAAGTTATGCCCTATTCCCGCATATGAATGTGGTTCAAAATGTGGCCTATGGGCTGAATATGAGCCGAGTACCTAAGAAAGAAGCCCTGTCTCGTGCGAGCGAAACTTTGGCAAATGTCGGATTGGTCGGATTCAATGAGCGCTTACCTAGCGAGCTCTCGGGTGGCCAACAACAACGCGTAGCACTAGCGCGCGCACTTGTATTGGAACCCGCAGTTTTATTATTTGATGAGCCTTTATCCAACTTGGATGCGCGCTTGCGCCGCGAAAT